TACTACTCTCTCTCTCTCTCTCTCTCTCTCTCTCTACCTCCAAAAGATGTACATTAATGTCTCATGACCTATCGAGATAATGTATATGTATGTTTTGGCTATACAAACATGACTGTGCTTTTCAAAATTCACAATCTTATAATAACCAAAGTTTTTTACTGTGCATTTTAAAAATCAGAATCTCATAAGGACCAAAATCTCTTTGGAGGTTTCCCCCTTAGATCTTCATTCTGCAATTGCGTTCTTCGCTCCATACACATGGCTAAAGTAACTTGTAAATCCCAAAGCGATGGGTTAAGAATACCTAAACTATGCTCTCTTCTTACCCATTTAATAGCGTTATTGGAGTCCCCTTCCACAATCACAAGCCCAGAAGCTCAAACACCTCCAATATGGCTCAATTCTCATCCCCATTTCTTGTGCAAGGTGGGAGTATCTATTTCTCATTTGTCACTGTGAACTCCTACTCAAGCCGCTTGACTACTGCCATCAAAATGAATTTTTGTCAAATAAACTACAAATTTTACAAAAGAAGACATTTAAATCCACAATCTTTTTCAATACATCAAGGATTCGGAACGTACCCATTCAAATGTGATCTCCTTAAAAGAACTCTTGTAAGATGGATTTTGGATTAAAATCTCAGGGACATTTTACATGAGATGACCTGGAGTTTTTCTAATTTACGTTTCCTCTTTCTTTAATGGAAATTTATTAAAATGTGTATTACTTTTAGGCAATTCAATAGTTCTCTTTTTTTTCAACTATTCCAACTCATGGTCACATGAATTTTGTATTTAGATTTAAGAACCCTTTTAGACGTGGGAACATGAACCCAACAAGTTTGATCCTGCCACGATCGTTTACTTAACTAGTTAGCAACAAAATCGGTAATAATATGAACCATGATGCAAGAATGGAGTAGAAAATATACATACGATGAGAAAATAAAGATTTATGAGGTTCACCCTAAAAGGGTTAATTCATGAGCATGAATTGCTGAAATCTACAATATCAATTAGAGTTACATCACAAATTTTGGGACATTAAGTTACTTTTCTTACCCAATACAAAACCAAGTCGAGCAACTCTTTCAAACCTACTCTCCTGACTGACATTGCATGCCAACCTCCAATATCTATTTCACAGCTAAAACATTGCCCAGGAAAATAAACTTAAGAACAAAATAGACTTTCTTAGAATAAAAGGAGAACCACCTAAAATCTCCATGAGAACTATTTCTCTACAAGAAACCAACCTATCACTTTGTAGGAAGCACCATCATTATGTTTCTCTCCTTATGAAGCTCACTTATGTTTATATAGAGGCATGGTCTTTCAAGGCAGGAGACTCATGCCGCTCTCTCTCTATATAGTAAGCTGCCTTTCTCAAATGATGACCCCAAATAAGACACACATATTCTTTCATGTCAAATGATGACCCATGCCTCTCTCTCTCTCTCTCTCTATATATATATATATATATAAGGTTTTGAATCCTATACCAGATAGGAATTCTGTATATATCACTTATATGTCAAACTTCAAGTATAACTAAGCGTCGTAATCTAGTTGAATATCAATGTGTATACCAACCACCTAAAGATTTATTAATATATTTATTAAAATCACCTCTATATAATCTGGGATTTTTTTATGTGGGTGATTTTGAATATTACCATATCTAACATTGTGATGGGTATTTTATACTTGAATAAAAAGATATGGTTAAAATGCAAATAGCTGAACCCTTAGATGTATTTTGATAAATTTTCATCATTAACTAATCTACAAATACATTAAAATCTTCTGAGAAAGTAATAGGCCACGTCAATCCGTAAACAAGACGCTTTGGTAATGGGATCAAATATACAATTAGACCCACAAGACTACCATATATGCACCCAAATTTACAAGTTATGGTTGTCCATACACGCACGCGTGCGCGCAGACCCACGTAAACATATGTATATGTATGTTTGTATGCATACAAAGTTTATATAAGGTCACAATCTTATATGAAGTAAGGCGTACCTCAAAAATCCAATAGAAAAGAGTATCCTGAAATTGGAAAACTATCTATTTGATCATCTCAACTTTGAAATATATTGATACAAAAAAAGAAAAAAAAAAAGAATTTCAAGTCCTAAAAATAAGGCATCTTTTAACAAGGTACCGGACTATCTATTTTTAAGATTTTGAAGATTTTATCGATATGCTCAATTTGCATTGTTTTTTTAAATTTTGAATTCCATCATTAGGGTTGAAAATGAATTTTCAAGTTATCCTATGGTTTCCGACACCAAAACTACATCTTCTGACAAAATTGCCCTATTTGTATAATATAAGGTGAGCAAACCTCACCTATATGTGTATGTGTGTAAGATATATAATAAGAACATTTAATTTTGATAACCATTTAATTTTGATACAAGGAAGCCATCATTAATAGTGATTGTTACATGTGAAATGGGGTGATTGGGGCATACTTCATTGATTGGGCACAAAGTCTAAAATAAGATTTCTTCATTATTGTAACACATTTCAATCTATTAGCTAAGAGTTGTTATGGCATCTTTGTACCAAAGGTAAATGGCCTTCAAGTACATAATTCCATATATATATATATAT